CTATGCTCGTCTTCATAATTTGGAAGTTAACCATCAAAGAACGGCACATTCAAATGTTTGAATGCCTCTCTCAAACCTTGTATAAAATTCACCTGTATTGGCAGATAATAATGACAATTTCAATAAAATGTAATTAAAATATTGTATTTTGTATACGATCGGTATAAAAAATAAATGTCATACCAAAATTCTTACATCTGCTTAAGAGGCGCGCCAATAATACTAGGTACATAATTTTATGACTCCGCCTGCTTTTCATTTCTAGTTCTTTTGCTCCGCATATTTTGTTTCAAGCACGTCCACTTTCTACCGTTTTTCCTGTAAAGATAAAAGTCAATTGCAAATTATAATATATAATACGGAAAGATTCAATATAAGTAAAATAAATACTTTTGAATGTTCTTCCTTATTTGTATTAAGCACCCATGATAAATAAATACCATTTCTCCCATCGTTAGAGCAATTTGAATAATTTAATGGAACAATCAAATTTTTTAAAGTAAACTTAATAGGAAAATTATTAAGGATTGATATTTGAATATAACGAAAATTTTATGAGAGGAAAAATTGAAGCGGCTAAGATAAGGTTGATCATTCTGTTGGAATTTGCGTTTAAAGAGGCTTCGAGAGTTGAGTTCATGTCGGTGGTGGTAGTTGGGGTCACTTATGATAACAATTGTTGATCTCTTCTAAACCTTCTGGTATCTCTCGATGATTGAGTGAAGCTGTTGTTCATCAATAGAAGATTCATTAGGCTTCTGTTGTCTTTAGTTGATCGAAGGAAAATATCTTCCAAATCTAATATATGCTTTCCTAGGATTGGTTTCGCGTCCGGTAGAAGATTATATGGTCGCCCGTTTATGCCTACTAGGATTGTAGTAGTCGACCAAATACTTGGTTATTAATAGCATTAGTAGGGATGACAGATGATCCAAAACTTTCCTACTCCTAAATGTAGAAAGGCTTAAAATAGTACCAGAGGTTATGGAAACAGTGATTAATTCTAAAGTCAAGTCTAATATGAGCATTTCTAAACCAATCTGTTTCTAAAAATAAAGTTTCATTCCGAGAATAGATAACCCGTTTACGTACACCCGAAGCTATCATAATTATTCCAGTGAGAGAGATGTCATCAATCCAAATTCCAATGTCTTTATAAAGGTTGAATTAACTTTTTTAATCTTAAAAGAAACAAAATAAATGAATCGAAAGAAAGTCACTGTACTGTGTACACCCTATTTCGAAAGGTTGAATATTGATGTCGGTTAATTCTTCGAGGGAAATAAAAGCCTTGACTTGTATGTTACTTTAGTCGGATCGGTTTCATCCATCTTAACGATTTCGGGTAAAATTAATTATAAATAATCTATTCATTCTTAAAAAATTGAACATTTTGAAAAACTTACGTTTGTGATCCAATATTTTGAGATAACAATGTCGGTGTATTAATGATAAACTCTGTCGTCATCATCATTTATAGCAGTAGCTTCCACGCAAGGAATAATATATCTAAGATGTTCAGTTCCAAGTTTAATAACGGTTTCACCCTACATTATAATTTGTTTTTATTCAGGGTCACAATTTTATTAATATACAGCGTAAATACCTATTTTTATCTATCTCGTGCTGAGATAAAATTGCTTATTTAATTTCTTTTGAATAAAAAAAAATTCCAAAGATTTAACGGATTTTGTTCAGTCAATTACAGATGAAACCTACCGGAAAGTTTTGCAATGTTGTTTGCAAGGTAAACATTTTAAATTTATTAAAAAAAAAAAAATTATTTTGAATCGAGAAAGTGAACTAACTAAACTAACTGTAAATAGAAATAGAAAAGGTGGGGTAAAACTCAATTACCAAAATCAGAATATGATCTTTTTTAATACTCCAAAAAACTGCCAAATATTTTGCTGGAATTCAGAGGCTGTTCTATTAATTGAGCATCAAAATCTATGTCGCTGAGAATTCTTTCAATATAGTCGAGAATGCGACCAACGATGTTGTCGAGCAGTACTGTGCTGTAATGGCGTCAAAAGTTCTAACTTTCTGCGGATTCTTCAAAAAAATTCGACATGGTTGAGAGACGTAAGTATAAATGTAATTCAAAGCTTGATGAAAATTTTCTAAGATGTGTACGGATCAACACACTGTGTCATGTACTAATCGACATTTCATCGTGCTCTTTATCTTTACAAATACTCTTGATCATTATTTATGCTAGAAGAGAATATAAGCGAAACTTCTAAAGAGAATTCGAATAAGGCGGAGCCTGTGTTATTCAGGAATTATATGGAAAGAGCATTTTCAACTTTATCGGACATGTAGGTCAGTATTATAATTTAAATTCCATTTGTTGCTCTTTGTGAGTATCATTCCGAGAAACGGTCATCAATTCATTTCTGCATATACTAAAACACATTTTATATGAAAAAGGTTTTTGATAGGAATGTTCTTTTTTTTTTCCTTCCTCGAACAATCACCATCACAACTGTTATTATTAACCACCGAAAGCAACCCGAAACTCACTCCATCGGTTTCGATCAGATAAATTTGAAAATGAAGTTAAATAAGAATAACATGGCAAATGCATATATTCAATATATTTATCGTATTATTTTATGATTATTTTCAATTGATATTTATTTTACAATGAAATCAGTAGTATGTGCGCGTGCTTATTTTGAAACAGTTAATCGTCGATAGTCACGTCAGGTCATAAAATTATGTACCTAGTATAATTGGCGCGTCTTGAAGATGATGTTAGAATATTGGTTAGTGAAACAATTCGTATACAAATTATAATATTTCCATTACCACTTTAATGAAATAGACATTAAAATTTTCATACTTTAGGTCATCTGCTAGTAAAGGTGAATTTGAAATAGGATATGAGAGATACGTTCAAACATGTGAATATGCCTTTGATGGTTGACTTCCAATTATGAAAACGAGTATAGAGATTATTCCTGAATTAGTACTTCAAGTAACTATGAATTCATGATTCTTTACTTTGAACGCTCTTTTAATTATTATTCTTGGAAAAGGGTCATCCGTTGTGGGTTTAAGGTAGCCAATCCGAAATGGAAGAATGCCGATATATAAGAAAATTAAATTCATTAAAATCTTTGGGATTCAACAGAGACTAATTAAATTCAGGCACTCACCTAAGGAATTAATAGTTAATACTCAGATGATGGAAAAGATCTTTTTTTTTTTTTTTTTGGAAAATATCAATTATGAAGGTCCATTCCATCTTTGCTAAATTACTCAACGGCCTAGAAAATTGTTTATATTATCACATGTAAGTAGCTTTTATTTGTTGATGTTTCGATAGATACTGTATAATGACGTCTTTAGATTTAACGGAAAAAGTTATATAGCCAACGAAAAATGAAAATCAACAAGATGACGTTTTCTCTGTGAAATTAAAAGGTTATATTAATTTGAAGTAGACCATTTAAAAATGAGTGGGATCGCACAATATAAAATATGTAATGTAATTTCTTTATTGGTAAATAAATTAAACTTTAATATAATTTTTATTTTATTTTATGTATTGTAAATTTAACTAAAAGTTTATATTATAAACAAATAGTATAATCATAAACTTGAAAACTATCAAAATTTAAACATTAAGAATATTACAACTATAAAGGAGAGGAATTATTTAGGGAGCAAGATCCGGAGGAAAATATTGATTTTTTTATCAAAAATCACCGGTAAATAAACGCGTATTGTCTATTTATTTATTAAATTTAACTCTGAAATCACAAGAGTTTTTTTTAAGAAACAAAAAAAAAAAAAGAATATTTGAAGATATAAGGCAGTCTGTGAAAAAAAAGAAATGTCACTACAATGTTAGTCAAGCATTCATATTAATAATATAATAACAATTTCAAGCAATAAATCAAAACCCACCATATCAATGCGTAACTTGCTCCTCATTCTCTTGGAACCCTCAGTCCGATTTGGTTTAACTTTCTTCGGACTGTTTACTTTTCGGATCGGTTCCTTGTTCTTGAGCCTCTTTTTGTCGCTTTCCTCTTCGTTTTCTTTACGCGTATTTACGGGTGGAGGCACACCCGCAAATCAAAATCCATGTTGAGTATTGGCGACTCAACCTCCATAATACTTCGTATTAGGCGCTTTTGATTAATTTGCGCCTCAATACTGCCTGTATTGGGCGTTTTTACTTTTAAAATTTGCAAAGCTTTGCAATCTGCCGCAGTCATGTTCTTGATGTAGACCATAACCTTATAAGTAATTCTTTTAAAAAAAAAAAAATAATAATAAAAAAAAAAATAAAAAAAAATTTGGTTAGAAATAAAATACCAAATATTTTTCGCAAATAAGTGAAATAGTTAGTTTTTGATTTTTACGAGTATATCATAAGTAGAATAGTACTTCACTTCAAAAGTGAACAATGGACGCAGAGAATTTTACAAGCAAGTCAAGAGAATAATCCACCAAGAAACAAGTACTCTTCTAAACCAATTATATACCGTTTGTATTAAATATTCAGCATGAAATTAAATGAAAACTTACTTTATAGCAGACACTTCTTTATAGCTACGATATATTTTTATTAAAAGTTAAAAAAGAGTTGAAAAAGTTGAAATTCAAAAGGGTAAAATAAAATGAGGGTTTGAAGGCTTGAAATTGAAACGTGTGAGAAGATTTAAAAAAAAAAAGTTTTGCGGAAAGTAATTTATAACCACATGATGGACCTTATATGCTTATATGGAAGGAGACATTGCCTTATTTATTTTTTGATTTTTTGATAATCGAATCTTTATAATGGTCCAATGGTAACATCATAAGAATAGTGGAACATATCACGTGGTTGTGAATATAGCATTTTACGCTTCCAATGGTATAATTGGGCTTAAAGCTTTTCAAAGGTGTTATTAGTGCTTCTAAACACAAATACCCCCTTTTTTGAGGCAATTTTAACTTCTATTTCAAAATTAAAAACATTCACAATAGAAATAATCAAAAACTAGAAATAACATTATCTCTTTACTAAAAAAAACATTTACATGTTTCGAAAAGAGGTTTCCAAAAGAATATTTCTGCTAAATTTAGATGGTATGATTGAAAGAACGAGAAAAGTAATGTTATCTTCAAAAATTGTTGGATATTTATGGAAAACAATAAAATCATCTAAAACTCAACATGAACATGAGTTTTGGATGATATTATATCAAATCGCATATTTAAGAAACATATATCGTCTCGTTAGGAAGAGACGTAATGATGTTGTAGTCAAACAACAATTTCAAACAAATCATCCGCAATTATTGAATGATGCTCTTTACCGCAATTTAATGGTTGATGAAGGTGACGCTCAAGGGTTGCTGATATATCATTTGTCAATCGATACGGATGGCCAAAATAATCTTCGATGCAAGCGACGCTATACCTGATGAAGATAAGGATAGATTCTTCCCTAAATTGTCGATTCGGTTGTCGAGCATGATTCGACACTTTAATGTTAATTCTAAAGGAAATCTAAATCTGAAATATATTCAATTTAATTTGTTTTCAACATTAGTGTTAGTACTATTATGAAAAATTAGAACATTTAATCTTAATAATATTTTAATATTGTAATTTTTATATAATTATCTTTTATTTTCTTTCTGGTAGAAGACATATAATGTTATATCTAGATCAAATGTTTATTATCAAAATAAAAAAAATCAATTCCTATTATAATACCCTCTTAAATCATTGAAAAAAAAACCAATAAAGTCAGATTGTTGGACAAAATCATATAAAATGTCGTCGCATTGGCCTTATTCGGAATAGGAATCCTATGAGGCTTATTGATTTAAAAAAATGTGAATCACTTAAATCGGTATAATGTTCATGTAAAAGTTGAACTAACAAAATGGAAAGGTTTATTTGGTGTAAATGCGCTGA